ATTGTAATGCCACAATTTTCAGGGTGTCATGGGTTATTCAATAATCGGTAAATTTCAAAACTTTATCATAGTGTGAAAATGTATTTTAAAAAACCTCAACATTTAAAGCAGATGTGGTCGATCTATGACTCGATTGCTCGATGTGACATCTCAACGCGTTGCCATGGAGAGGATATCCGTTGAGATTGATCCTCAATTGGGTCTGCCTTTAGGGCCACATGTAGAGAAGTTTAGGAGTTATTTGGGGATGTTGGCAAAAACCCATGTCTCTATTGTCATTGCATCTTGGGATGATGTCCCAGAGATGAACAAGAACCTCCTATGGCAGGACATTTTGGTATGTTTACTTAAAAAAAAAAATTAATATATTGTTTAATATGATTTTATTATCTCATTAACATGTTTTTTGTTTTGAACGGCAAAATTTTGATATTCCAAACACTAGGCAAATTAGAAAGAAAGTGTTAATTCACGTAGCAATTAGATGGAGGGACTTCAAGACAAGGCTGACACGTCTATGTGTGTTTGGAGACCGACAACATGAATATATGAATATCCTTGTGCGAAGTACATAATAACTGAGGAGGAATGGATGCAGTTTCGTGCATCTAGAGAGTCTAAAGTGTGGCATGTTTGTTTCTTAAAATTTTGCTATAGTCAGATAAGGCATTTAATAATGATTTACACTTATGAATATACATGGTTTGACAGGGTAAAAGGTTAGCAGTCCAAGAAACACAAAGACTTAATGATGCATTACACGTACTATCACGAGGTGGTTATGCATTATTTGAGAGAAAGATGAGAAAGAGTCAAGTAGAGACTTTAGGACTTGAGTCTCTTGACCTAGCACCTACACCTGCTAGGAACGAGATTGGAAGACTGCATGGACTAAGTCTAATGAGAACATGACATCACAATCAATTGTCTTGAGATCACATAATTGTAAGTATAAATTCTAAACAGATAAGCAATCTATTTAATATTTAGTGTTTTATGTAACAAACTTCATTATCATATGTAGGATGTGTTGGTCGAGCAACAAACTCAGGGTTCCTTTGCTGGCTAAGGTACGAACGACATTCTCACAAGACCATTGGAAAGCTAGAGCACCTAGGACGTGTGTGTGGTGTTGGGGGTGTGATTGATCTTCGGGACTACTTTGATCCTACACAAAGAAGCAGTGAGTCAATGACTTAGGAGGCATTGAGGAAGATGGAGCTCCAAGTGGAGGAAAGACTCAATCCACGCATGAGTGTTATAAAGTAATACTTCATGGAGCACCTATAAGAATAAAAGTAAATCCAAAGAATGCTGGAAAAAAGTTGCAGTCCATGACCTAGGCAATGGGGTTGAATTAACATGGTTTATCTAAATAAGAGTTTGAATTGACAATGTGTTTTGTGTTCTGAAATGGATTTATGTCAGGAGCTTATACATTATTAGATAACTATGTGATGATAATTATATTATTATATGTGTTTTTTATGTAATGTTGTTAGCTCATTCTTGCATTTGTGGTGATGATTTTTACCTACGGTAATTATATTTATATTAGAGCAGATGATGTTATAGAAGATGTTACTAACGATGTGAATGTTGTTTAAATCGAAAGACTAGTGGAAAATTATTTTTAGAATTTTCAAGATTTAATTCTTTTAAATAAATTACGTTAAGGAGTATTAGTATGTTATTTTGAGTTATATTAATATTGTTTTTAATTTATTTCACGATGATTGTAACATCCCAAAAATATCGTCTAAAACTATAAAAGAAAATAATCACATTAAATAATATTACAGATTAGTCTTACATTAAAAGAAAAGTATGTTTATGGCCGAACGACCTTACAGAAAGAACAAGAAAACTAAAACTGTACAAGGTAAGTAATTCTGACCAAACGGTTTACAAAAACCAACACCTTACTATCCAACTAAACTACTGACCGAACGGTTCTACTGTTCGGTCTTAACTTCTACCTCTACTAAGTTTTCTTCTTCCAGCGCCTCTTCCAGCAGCTCGTCTCTTTCTGCTCACATCCACATGGATGATCATTGCAACAGAAGACAACTGAACGTACAAAATAGACAAGACAGAAAGACATAGGGTAAACTTATGTAATTTAATTCATGTATAAACATATATTTCACACAATCAAAACTAGACAAGATAATTCATCACTCGTTCATACAAAGCCTAATACTAGACTGACTGTCCGGACTGTATGAATTATGTGTAGCTACGACGTTCGTGCACCCGTGTGATGTAGTAACTGGGATACCCTCAACAGCTGCCACCCGAGGTTAGTCATATCTGTCCAAATTAACCATAACGACTAGGACCTCCTGTCGTTCCCACACATGACTTACCCTCCTCTACGTGAGGACGAGTAATCACGGAACATCAGGATGAACCGCCAGCCTAGCATGCCTACATTCATACTTTACCAAATTTCAATATCCATTCATGAATCATTCCTCCCCGGAACGCTCGTTCAAAATCCAATTCATTTCGTACACATCATATTTCATCATCTTTCATTAATAAGACCTTAATGAGATCAATTTGAATAAACGTCTCTGAAGATACTAAATACCGAACGTACAACTTTAACCCTTAACAAAACCGAACACTTGGACTGTGTCTGAGAGGTTTCCATTTCCCTAACATATCAAAATCGAGAGAGAATTACGATTGGGATTGGGAAAAGAACTAGTTCACTAATATTTATCAAGATTTAAGAAGGATCGAACGTTATTTACAAAGTGAGTCAATTTGATGAACTGACCCATGAGCGTTTAGACTAAACCCCTTAGCCTAGAACGAGTACTAAGACTCTAGGCTGAAAACAATAAATACAGACAATACAAGATATTCAATTTATAGTACTTAAAAGAATTTTATGAAGAAACCGAACACTGATAAATACTTAGATTATTTGCGTTTAACATCAAGAAAAACCGAATGTCAGTCAAAGACCAAACACGGTAGAGGGAGTATAATATTGAATTTAGACGAACGCTATTTTCATCAAGGTAGTTTATAAAAAAGATAATGAGCGCTTGGTATAAGACCCAACACTAAATAGTACGAACGCTTGGTGAAAGACCTAGCTCTAAATCGTACGAGCGCTTAGTGAAAGACTTAGCATTAAATAACACGATCGCTTGGCGAAAGACCTACCCTTAAATAATACGAGCGCTTGGTGAAAGACCTAGCACAGAATAATACGAACGTTTGGTGAATATAGGATATCATTGGACTAATGTTCAAGAACGAACGTACTACTACACAGATATACTTAGTTTTATTTTAAAATACCAAGGAAAGGATATCCTTGGTGGAACGCCTGTACACAAATTGTACTAGACGAAGACGCTCGTCCTCAACATAAATTCTTTCCAAATGAAAGAATCCAGTTCTAAACGAGTCCCCTATAAAAACCGAACGGTCAAAGACCATTCAGTAACGAACACACAATATCTTAGGGAAATTTCATACTTAGAAATCATTTATCTCAATTCATTTCTCAATATCTATTTTCATAAAATCAAACACCCATACCATAATAAATAATCATACTTCATATAGTCCAAACATATCAACAATAATACTTCATATTAATTCATCAACTCAATGAACATACATGCAATTCAAACAACATACAAATTAAATCATATCTTCCCTTACCTCTAATGTGAGCGAACGTTCAACAATGCAGAAATATATCTCCTCACTACTGAAATCTTTAGAGTTCGACGATCACCCCTTACAAACTAAACCAAACAAGAAAAACAGAAATACTCAAAACAAAGTGACCAATTCATGCAACCAAGAATCTGGGTTCGCACGTGTAAGAAGAATGAACGTCCTAAAGAGAAAATGACTTACCAGTTTCAGAACCAAAAACTGATCAGTTCAACTGGAAGCTCTTGACACCGAGAGTGTTCTAGCGGTGCCTGAGTGATGATCGGAGAAGAGAAAATGAGTGTTTTGTAGAGAGAAGGAAAAGCTTTTAGAGAGAAGGAGGAGAAAATGAAGTTTCAGAGTTTGGAAGAGAGGTTGCATGCAGAGAGTGGCGTGAGTTTTCCTGAAAATCAAAGTTTTTCTTCCCACGTCAAAAATGGACGTTCGCTCATCTGCCAACACCTGCCCTCCACCATCTAAGTGTCGAACCCTCTTTTTGACACATGAACTCCACTAAGACAATACGTGCGTGGATTTTACTGATTGTGACAATAATGTAATGAAATATTTAAATATTTCACACTATATTATGATGATATTAAAATTGTATTTATCTTAATCATATAATATTCTTTTACTTATTTCTCATCTTAAATTTTGGAATGTAACATAGACTAATATTAGTCAGAAAGAGACTAGAAAAAGAATATAGAAAAATTGCTTAGAGTTATAAAATAAAAAATGAAATTATTATATCTGTTTATAAACTTTTCCATTATCATGCATTAATGAATTTATCTCTGAACATATATTTATAATAATAATAACAATAATTAATATAACATGATAATTAATTTGTGGTAAAATTTTAATTTATTATTTTCCATTTCCTTTCTTCTATTCATTCTCTCGTTTCTATTTTACTATTTAAAATTTTTGTCCATTATTAAGCTAAATATTTTTCTTCCTCTCTATACAAATCCTTTATAAAAAATTATCAATTATGTATACATATTATAAATATTAAATATTTAACTCAATAAAATATTTACAATAACCGTTTTTGTATGTTTTCATTGGTAATCTACAATTATATAGAAATGGATTCTTATTTTTTTTTTCACATTTTTCATAGCAATATATCTTTTAATCTATGTAAAGACCATTGAATTTATCGGTGTTCCTTGTCCCTTTGAAGTAATAGTCAAAATTTATTCTCTCACGACTTATGTTCCATTGATATTTTTTAAATCCATTCTTCAATGACCCAACATATCTTTATTAATATTTTTTACAAGAAAAAGGATAGAGCGGGTAAGAAAGACGCGAAGAGCAGAGCGCGTGAAAGCAGGTGAATGGCATTGGCATAGGAAGGAACTGAAGCAGATTATTCTTTGCTCCTTTACTACACCTTCCTTCCCTCCCCTCTTTTCTCTTCTCTTTCTCCTGTTTTCTTTTCTGCAACCATTTAAGCTTCTTTTTCCGATTCCAATTTCGCTCTTCTCTTCTCTTTTTCTTCCCTTTCTTCTCTCTTACTGTCCCCAAACCCTTTCATCAACTTCATCTTCTTCTTCTTCTTCATGCTGAAGAAAAGTGCTGCTTCACTTCTGCAACTTTAGGTTTCCGACCAATTGGTATTCTCTCCCTTCTCTTTCCTCTTTTCCATTTATTTCTTGCTGTTTCCTTGTTTTCCAACGCGCCTGCCTTCCCCAATGGAGTTCTGCACACTTCCAATTAGGGTTCTTTCTCTCGCTGACTGTCAATTTGAATTGGTTTCGAACCACGAGTTCACTGCCCTGCGGCTTTTGATTGGTTGCGAGTTTCCAATTCTCGTTTTTGGTGTGCTGAACTGTGAGCATTGTTTTTGAATTGGGGGATTTTCGTGTTTCGATTGGGTTGGGTGTGCGGATGCATTATGCTACGTGTTTTGCCGATGGATTGTGTGGAATTTCGAAATGGTTGAGAGTTTCAATTGTTCTATTGTAAATGGTTGAGTTTTTTTTTTTTTTCTGTTTGGGTGATTTTTCTTATGTGTATGCTTTCTTTATTAACTGCTGCAGGGGTTTCGTGATGTGTATCTGCAACTGAATCGAGAAGAATGACATTTTTTTTGTCTGTGATTGTGTTGTAGATGGTGGATTAGGCTGTATAATTGCTGTTGTTGGTTGAGTCTGTCGTTAATTCAATCTGGATTTGAGTGCGGATGATTTCTTTATGTGGCTGAGTGAGTGGTTTTTATACAGCAGGAAGGTTTGTTGCATTCGTTGTTGTCGTTGTTGTGTGGTTTATTTTTTTCGAGAGTTTGGAACATAGTCGGCAGACAAAAAGGATTGACTTTTGTTCATGGGTAATAAACTTGGGAGGAGGAGACAAGTGGTAGATGAGAAGTATACTAGACCGCAAGGGTTGTATAATCATAAAGACGTGGATCATAAGAAGCTGAGGAAGCTAATACTTGAATCTAAGCTAGCACCTTGCTATCCTGGAGATGAAGAAAGTGCCTATGACCGTGAAGAGTGCCCTATCTGCTTTCTGGTCTGGTTTCTATATCATTCCTTCATATTTTTTTTCTACATTTCACTCTGCTGTTAATTTACGTTTTTTAAATGGTCAAATGAGTCAATTCAACTGTGCACACCTACGTAGGACTGCAAAATATGACCTCTGGACCACCTTTTTTTTATTTCAAATTGAAACAAACTGATGGAGTTATTTTCTGGACTGATTTTTATCCTTGTTTCCTTAAAGTCTATTTAACGTTGCGAACTTCACGTATGACTTTCTAATATCCCCATTCCATTGTATTTTTTTCCCTAATTTAGTATTATCCAAGTCTAAACCGATCAAGATGTTGCACAAAGAGCATTTGTACAGGTAATTGTTTGGTTTTTCTTCATTGGGTATATATTTTGTCTATAGCATTTGTATGCAACCTAATTGTTTTCCTTTTTTCAGAGTGCTTTCTACAGATGAAAGTTCCAAATTCCACTCGACCTACACAGTATCCTGCATTACTAGATGTTTGCTTTCAATATGAAGATGTAACTCATAACTGTTGTTCTAACAACTATCATCTTGCTGCTTTAAAATTAAATAGTTGTTTGTCTTAACAACACAAGATGTCCCTTCTGTAAAACAGCAAATTATGCTGTGGAGTATCGTGGTGTGAAATCAAAAGAAGAGAAGGGATTGGAACAGATTGTAAGTTGTTAGCTTACATGGTTATTGATTTTAGGAGTGCATTCAGAAATGTTTTCATCACGAATCAAGTTCATGTGCATTCTCAATTATTCAGGAAGAGCAGCGTGTTATTGAGGCAAAAATTAGAATCCGGCAGCAGGAACTTCAGGATGAAGAGGAAAAAATGCACAAAAGACTAGAAATGAGCTCCTCAAATGTAAATGTGGCAGTTGCAGATGTTGAATACAGTTCAAATGCAGGTAATCTATCAATACAGTTTTGGATTTCATCTGTATATATGTGAGTGTGAGTAATTCTAGTTGTAAAAGTTATTCTTATTTCAATCTTGTAGTGTCTGCATCTTCAATTTCTGTTGAACATGATGAAATTGTTTCTTCTCAAGACTCAAGTGCCACATCAATGGTTAGACCAAATGCAACCACTAGGACCAATAGGTATGCCATCCTTCTTTGCTCTACCCCTCAATTTCCTAAATTTCTATTATTCATGTCATAGCATTTGTATCATCCAATGTTTTTCTTACGGACTTAGGGTATTAACTCTTTAATTAAACAATAGGAAGAAAATGGGTTGTTGTGTTAAATCTTTAATTAACATTGCTTCAAACTTACTGCAAGCCCTTTGCATGTTATATTTTCCAATGAATATTGTACCAGTTGGATTATACTATGCTAATCCAATTTTAACTCCATTAAGAATGAGAAAAATAATCTTCTCAGTGTTATTTGAATTGAGCCAGTAGTATCTGATCCTGTGCCTATAGTCGGTTGGTGCTTTAGACCACTAAGGTTATGAGAAACATACCTATTGTTTGTATGGAGATTCTGGACTCACTATAATAATAAACTTGAGATTGAAAAGAAATAATTCTTGAGGGCTTGATTGATCCCTCATAATCTTCTATTTATAAAAATAAATTGATAGGGTAACCTAGACACAATATAATCATGATAAATAGGGTAACCTAGACACAATATAATCATGATAAATAGAATAATCCTAAACACAATATAATCATGATAAATAGGGTAATCCTAGACATAATATAATCATGATAAATAGGGTAAATATTCTAACAAATAACTTGTCTAAATTTAGTTGTGTGAAGGGCATAAGTCCATATGTAAGTTGAATTCATATATGAACTAATATAACATTTTGTATTGCTACTGTCTACAATTTAGTATTTTGCTATTGTAAGCAGTGTAGTTAGAATCATAAGAATTGAATGATTTGAATCACGATTTGATACAAACTTCTTTCCCTGCCATAACATGGTTTGATGAATCGTTTTGTAGCCGGAATCGTAACATGATTTGGTGAATCGGATTTGAATCTGTGATTCATGATTCAGTTTCTTGTACATACAAGTTGTGATGAAGGAACAATAAAAGAAAAAATCAGGAAGAAACACATAGGCCAATAATCTCAGCGAAGATGAAAGTTTAGCGGAAAAGATGAATAACAAAGGATATGAAAATTAGAGAATAGTACCAATAAAAAAGACAAACAGTGTAAAGAGGATAGGAGAAGATGAGAGAAGATGAACCTGGGAGTAGATGAATAAAGAAGGGAGAGAAAATCAACATGGTAGAATATGAACCCATGAACTTGGAGAATATGGAAGTCGTCAATAGGTTTTTGGAGAGTTTTGTAGTGACAGTCTTTTTTAATGTTATTTTTTATTTTGTTTTTTTATAAAACAATAATATTATCTCAAAATAATAGTTATTGTTTAAATTAATATATAAATGTTATTATATTTTTTATTCTTTTTATATAAAATTAGTTGTTTAATATTTTCTTTTTATTTTAGTTCTTTTATAAAAAATTCTCAATATTATTTAAATTAGTATATATTTATTCTTATATTTTTTAATATAAACTTAGTTTTAATTTAAGGATTCATTTTCAGTTTTTTAAAATTAATATACAATTTTTGTTATATTTATTTATTTTTTAATAAAAATTAGTGATTGTTTAAGGATTTTGTTTATTTTATCTTTTAGGTTATACATATTATCTATCTTAGTATTCATAATAAGATTGGTTCATGATTTAACATGGAAAAACGATTCACGAATAGAAACCTAAGGTAGAACAATTTTTTGAGTTAGAGGGAACCCCTGAAAATCAATGATGCCATTTACCGTTATTGTCCACGGATGGCAAAGCCTTTACATGTAGAATATTAAGAACAAAGGGAAATCTTGGCAGCAAATCATTAAAGATACAGGAAACAAAATTTGATTCCGGTGCTTTTGATGATCCGGTTGTAGATTTGGCAAGATTAAAGCAAGAAGGAGCCTTGATGGATTATCTTGAAAGATTTGACACATTACTCACACGGGTAGACATTTATGAAGACTTGGCTTTAAGTTTCTCTCTTTCTAGTCTGTGGAATTAGAAAGAGTACATAGTCCTACAACGTGAGTTTAATGGAGATAGAATAGGAAAAAGGAATGAAACTGAAGAAGAATGGGAGGAAATCCAGAAGTGCTGGATAAAAATAGGGGAGTTGTCCATATTTGAAGGGAATGGCACCTAAGGTCACACACAACGAGGGCAACAAATTTTTTTGAAGTCAGAACATCACAGGAACAACAGAAGTACACCTAACCATCAATAGCATGGAAGAAAATGCAGTCCAGGGGTTCAAGACCTGGCAACAAAAATCCAAGAACCTTTCTTGGGAAGATCTTGCAACAACTCAATTAAGGATAGTTGAAGGAAACAGGAAAAACATGTTATTAGAGAGTTTGGCATTAGTGACAAGGACTGGAGTGGGGAAAAAGTCATCCAAGAATTCAAGATACTGGTGTCTCTGGTAAATCCAATATCAGAAAATCAGTTGGGGGAGAATTTCTTGACAAAGTGGCAGGCCCTATGCAAGAAAAATAAGATATCACCAACACCCCCAATATGGACATGGCTGAGTATTTGGCTATGGGTTTGGAGAGCAAGAACACAAATACAAGTGTGGTGTTATCTGGTAGGAGTTGTTGGGTTGTTAGGGTGTCTATGTTGAACCAGAGACTGGATCCAATCACCTGCATAGGTATTCTTATGGTGGGTTACGGGCTGATAATAAGTGCAGTGACATGGTTGATGTTGCTTCTGAGAAAGGTGCAAAAGCTGCTGCTCTATGGGTGGATAATTTTACAAAGGTTGGTTGTGAAAATACATCAGGTGAAGACTGTGATGAGAATGTTGTGACTCTTGCTTCTCAGAGTGAAGTTGCAAAAGCTTCTGATTTTAGTGGGGAGAGTGTGGTGGGTCTTGGTGCGTATGTTAAAACAGTGAAGGAGGGTGAAGACAGAGGAAAGAAGTGGTGAGAACATGGTGACTACAGTTTCCGAGAATAAAGTAGAAGATGTGGTTGTTTTGAGTGTGGATGGTTCAAAAGTGGTTGGTGTTGAGGAAGCAAAAGACAGGGGGAGGTAGTGAAGAGGTAGAAAAAGACAAAGATTGTTCTGAGAACATTGTGACTATAGGGGATCCAATGGCAGAAACAAGTGAGAACATGGTGGTAGACGTGGAGGACTTGAGAGATGAACGGTATGGTTTTGTTGTTGGTGATTTTGGTTGGGGACTAGCCAAGAGTAAACCTTGTTGGCCTGGCCGAATTTATGACCCATCTGGTGCATATGATGACGCATTGAAACAGGAACAAAAGAATAGACCTCTGGTTACCTACTTTGGGCATGGAACCTTTGCTTGGTGTCATCCATCACAGTTAAAGCGTTTTGGGGACAACATTGATGAGAGGGTTAAACAGAGTAGTTGCATTGATTTTTCCAATGGTGTACAAGAAGCAGCAAGTGAGGTTGGAAGGCTTCTGTTTATGAAGCTGAGTCTTTTAGTCGTTGACAAGTGAACAGGCTCAGAATCTACTCTCATATTGGGGAAAAATCCTAGAATCAAGAAAGGAGTTGTGCTAGAAGTTGGCATAGATAGACTTTTATATAGTCAATTTAAACCAGCAGAATTACTTTCTCATGTGAATTGAATTGCACGAGTTATTGATAGTGATAGTATTATTATGGAGCTGGAGATCTTAAAGGCTTGACTTTCTGCGTATTATTTGTCAAAAGGGCATAAATTACCTGAATTTATGGATACTTAGCTGGTGCCTGGAATGGGAAATGGTCTAATGGATGAAACCGTTGCTGTAGAGAACAGTAAAAGTACTATGGAAACCCCGACCTAAGGACCATTTGATGAGCTGGGTCATTCTCTAGGGCTTTCTGGGAGAATATCGAACCATGTAAGGAAGCAGAAAAGCATTGCTGAAATTATGGGGAAGGACAAAGATGTTCATACAGCAAGTAGGGAGGTGGAAGCAATTGGCTTAAATGGTGCAAAGAAGAGAAAAGGTGTCAGGTGTTGAACATTCTGCCAAGGAAAACAGTGGTAGCATTGGCTCATGGCTGTAGTCAAAGGAGAAGAAACAAATTTTTGATGAAGGGAAGAGTGAAGAACGAAACAGGAAGGGTAGTTTGTCTAGAGAAAGGAAGAAAAGTAAGTACTTGTCTCCTCCTTTCACTACTCCAATCAGGGGCAAAAGGAGGAAAGTATGGAAGCAGAATCCTTTACAGTATCCAGAAAAGTTAAAGTATCACAGACAAGTGCAGTGGCTGCTGTTCTGTAATATCCGCCACTTTATGTGGGGAGGTTTTTTGATAGCTCATATTACCAAACTGAAGAAGATGATGGGAAGAAGGCCACCAAAGCTGATGAATCTTCCCCAAGTTTGATGAATTGGCTAATGGGAGATCAAGTCTTGCAGCAAGGGTTAATCCAAGGGCAGAAAGGAAGCCTTGAGGTAGCCTCGTGGAAAGTTGTTGCAACAATTAAGGATCAGGTTCTAGACTTTAACCTTGAGGACAAGGTTGTTTTTGCAGCGGCGTGTAATGAGAGGATATGTAATGTGTATGTTAGGAGGAAAATATATAGTAGTAGTTAGTTGGATTGTTAGGTGGAGTGAGACTTTTTATATATAGGGGGGTCTTTGTATGCAGGGACGTTTTGGAAAGTTTGGAGAAGTGTTGGTAGGATCATTGGCATCTTGTGTGAAGGAAACATTGTCCCTTGGCTGCATTCATGCTGTACTTGTTGCCTAGACTTGAAGTTGAGAGAAAATGAATAGTCTCATATTTTGATTAAGAAAGTCTGATACAACTTACTACTGTATTTATAGAAGACAGTAGTTCTGAAAGATAAAAGGTCGGGAAGCCCCTTACAAAACCCTAACATAAATATTAATAATAAAATAAAGACATTATACTTCAACACTCCCCCTTAAGCTGGAGCATATAGATCATATGCACCAAGCTTGGAACATATAAATTGAATTCTAGGCCCCCTTAGAAATTTGGTCAGAATGTCTGCGAGTTGTTCATTAGAGTTGACAAACTCAGTAACAAGATCCTTT